AGACTTTCTGACAAGCAGGTCACCGACTTTGCTGCGCTGGCGGTCGACCTGCATGTCCGCTTGTCAGGAAGAATAGGAGCGTGGCCTAGGCTTAGTAGCCTAGGCCACAGTAGGAGGTAGTAGGTTGTGCCCTAGGACTAGGGTTTGTGGTATACGAAGGAGAATTGGAGAAGTGAGAATGGGAATGATGTGAACTAGCAAGCAGCAGGATACATATAGGAAACCCTAAGGGGTTGTACTCACTATTGAGCACCCCACTGCAGGCTAGACAAATAACATAATCTGACACCGCTAGGTTTCTAGATTCTGATGTAGCCATCTTTGCCTACTATATTTGCATCTGTATTGAATCTTTTGCTAATGGAACTTTTGTCAACTTGACTTGTAAATAAGCAAATTCGAGAGAACACGAGCAAACGCTACGATCAGTCGTACCCATGCTTTACCACGTTGTCTAGATCCCGGTGCAGAGTGACTCTCCGCGGCGAATCTTATTATAAGGAGGTACACAAATACTCTTGACACTCTTGTGTTCCGATAAATAGAATAGTTGGTTAAGGTAAAGGGGGGAGGGGAACATAAGAGATATACCACGGAATGAGAATGACTAGCAGCAATGCGATATACCGTCATACCCCGGATATAAGCGCCACCCTGAGATAAGCGCCACGCGCTTGTAGTTGGCATATGGTGCTTATATCCGCTCCTCGATGATAAGCGCACCCCCTGAAAAAACTTGTTTTATTATAAGCGCACGTAAACTTCAAGTTTTGAAATGTGTTCATAACGCTGTAACGATTTTTACTTTAGCAGGCGGATGTGTTGCAGATTCGGTTGTCTTCAAATTCGAACCCTGCACAGGATGCAAATACAGTCAGCAAGAGCTGTCAGGAGCTGTCAGGAGCTGGATGTGAGTCAGATTGAGTGTATCTCCCAGCGTGTGCGTGAATTTCACTAACGACCCCATGCACCTTCGACTCGATTGAAAAGGCAAGCACGAGATCTACAGCTTGGTGTTAAAAAATATATAAAATATATATATGCGATTTTATAAGCGCATGCGCCTATAAATTTGACTCAATTATAAGCCCACCCCCAAAAAAGAACCTTTTTATTATAACCCCCGTATGGGGGCTTATCCGGGGTATGATGGTAAGTAGCAAACCCTAATCGGGTTGTACCTTCTAGAGAGTACCTCATTGTAGCCTATAACCTAACCAATATATAATCTGACAACGGAAACTCGTTTGAAAACCGCTCCTGCCAATTTCCTGTCAAGTGCATCATCAGTCTCAATTCTGTCAGAATATAATGCTTGCCTAGTCTGTAGTGGGGTACTCAATAGTGAGTATAACCCTTTTAGGGCTTGCTATTTGTACCCCCCTCCTTTCTAGTTCAAAACCCTTCTCTTATTTCTCTTTCGTGTTCCCTAAACCCTAGCCATGGCTTCTAAGCCTTAGCTAGTATTCTAACATGGAATCAGAGCTGTTACGCTCTTGGCCTGTGGGCCCCACGTGCTTCCGCTGCTTTCCTGTCTGTCGCGCGCCCCGTGGCGCGCGACGCCTTTTTTTTCTTCCCGCCACGCGCTCGGGGCGCGTGGCGGTTTTCTGCCTCGTCGACCCGCGCGTCGCCCCCCGTCGCCCGTCGAAGCGCCCCCCGTCGCCCGTCGAAGCGCCCCTGGGCCCCGCGCGGGCCGCCCGCGGCCCGTACGACCTGTGCCAGGGTCGCGCGCGGCCCGTACAGGCTGCGCCAGGCCCGCGCGCGGCCCGTACGGGCTGCGCCAGGCCCGCGCGCGGCCCGTACAGCCCGCGCGCGGCCCGTACGGCCTGCGCCAGGCCCGCGCGCGGCCCGTACGGGCTGCGCCAGGCCTGCGCGCGGCCCGGGCAGCCCGCGCGCGGTTCGTCCGGCCTGCGCTAGGCACGTGCGCGGCCCGTACAGTCTGCCCTGGAGCCGCACGCCGTCCCCCGAGCTGCTGCCCACGCTGTCCCCCGCTGCTGCCCGCACTTCTGCCTGTATTAGGGTTTGGGGTGGCGAGTGTGGGGGTGGCGAGTATGGGGGTGACGAGTGGGTGTGTGCGCCATCCCCTGCTCCTCCTCCTCCTCCGTCTCCCACTGCTGCAGCTGCCGCTGAGGGGGGTGGATGTGTTGGAGCCGTCGGAGTGGTACGAGGGGGGGTGGCGTATGAGCAGCGCTAGAGGTGCAGCAGGGGGTGTGTGACACGGGTGTGGGACAGCTGGGGGAAGTTGAGTGGAGGCAGTCGTCTTGTCGTCCGCAGCGCCTGAAGTCCAGAGAGCCACGACCCCCTGTGGCCTGAGTAGTCCGGGGCTCTGCGCCCAAAAGCCACGGTGTGAGCACTCCTGGTAGTCCAGAGAGCCACGACCCCCTGTGGCCTGAGTAGTCCGGGGCTCTGCGCCCGGTAGCCACAGTGTGAGCACTCGTGGGAGCACAGAGAGCCAGCTGCGCCTGTCGCCGTGTAGTCCGGGTTTAGCCTGGTAGCGACAGTTCTGCGCACTCCTGTTGCCCGTGTGTCTGCAGCTTCAGCCGTCGCCTCCCATCTTCTCGCCCCACAGTTTCTCCTCCTCCTCACTTGCCCTCTATGATAGCCTCTAGCTTTACTTATCACTGTGACCTACTGCTCTGCCTGCTTATGTTGATTGTACCCCACTTTGACTATGGGGGTGTGTCAGAATATAATGCTTGTCTAGTCTGTAGTGGGGTACTCAATAGTGAGTATAACCCTTTTAGGGCTTGCTATTTGTACCCCCCTCCTTTCTAGTTCAAACCCCTTCTCTTATTTCTCTTTCGTGTTCCCCTAACCCTAGCCATGGCTTCTTAGCCTTAGCTAGTATTCTAACAAGTTCGGTCTAAGGGTACGTTCTGATCTTGACATTTGTGTCTCAATCAGTTTGTTGCGGGGTTCCCTAGTACAACGGGAGCTAGACTACGGGCTAGGCACAGGTGCTCGTGTGATCTCTGCGTTCGTTCGTTCCTTAGTCGTTTCCAAGTGCTAACACTGCTTGCTAGTTCACGGGGCAAATTTGCAAGAGTTTCACTAAGAAATCATCACAACAAAAAGTTCAGAATGAATAGCATCAACATTGGCAACACTGACTACATCAGACCTAGCAAGGCTTGCTGGTCCACTGCCAGCGCAGCACGGTCGACCGCGTGCCAGCACAACTCTGTCGACCGCGCTCCAGCAGAGCAGAGTCGCGGCTTGCCAACGTTGCAAGTCCGCGGTGCGCCAACGCTGCAGTATGTCGGCTGCACAGCGTTGCATCCGCGGGACAACGGTGCACCAGCTTCGCAGGTGCGTGCAGCTGGTTGGCGCCCAACTCCCCGTCACTTGCCCAGCGCAGACACTTCACCCGTGACGGCGCCCACCAGCCACGTCGACCTCGGGATACCACCCCCGAGATCGCCATCGTAAATAGCGTCCCCGGCGACTTTCGCGTACGTCGCCCGGGTATCCTGGTTGACCGGGTACTTCGCGGTCCTCCCGCGGTTTCTCGGTCACCGCGGTCCTCCGCGGTTTCGTGGCTCCCACGGTCCACCACGATTTCGTGGCTCCGCGGTCCCCCACGATTTCGTGGCTCCGCGGTCCCCCACGATTTCGTGGCTCCCGCGGTCCACTGCAATTTCGTGGCTCCCACGGGCCACTGCAATTTCGTGGCTCCCACGGTCGGCTCCGCCCAAGCGAGGACGGGGCCAAACACAACTCCCGTTGACATTTGTGACGCGCAAAAACAGCATAAATTGTAATGTGTCACAATCTCGGGTCGCCTTTCTGCGACTTTTAGTGTATTTTTTCATTGGGTAGCGTGATGCGCGCTGAAGTCGCGGACGAGTTGCACGATGCCCCGTCATTTTCAAAGTTTCGCACGCTGTTCGAAATGTCAACTCACCTAGACACCCCACAGTGCCAATTTCGTGCGGGAAAAGGAAAAAATCCAGCGCGACGAAACCACACATCTGCAAAGCGATTGAAGAAACGGTTGTACAGTGATTTGCTAGCCCCAATCAAATGCGCCCAACTATATTTTTCGCATACTCGTCAAGTGTCGCGATACATTCAAACTTTGAGACGCGTGGTTGTCAAAATGTGTAGACGCGACTCGGAAAATCATGGATTGAGACACAAATATCCAAATAAGAATGTACCCTAACACCCGTCTTGGACGCTTCACTTCTTCTCGACCCTTGGTGTTCGTTTTCGGTAGTGTCTGTTCGTGGTACGTATAAGAATGCTCTATGTCAATTCCTAACAAAAATATTCCTTTGTGGCATTCTGATCCACATTTGTTTGTAATATTTGTACATGTATGATGATAGTACACGCCTTTTCATGTTCGAAACCCTAAACCCGATATAGCACCCCGATTCCACGGGTGGTTTTTGGCCACATACAATACACCTCTCCCTCGGCAATTTCAACACCCGCGCTGCGGGAGTTACTTTTTGTCGTTTTGTGGTCTGTTGAAATTGAAGGGAACAGAGTAGTTCCAATAGTCAGCGCGGTTTCACTCGGTTTCGTAATGCTGAATACCGTGATACAGGCGTTTTAATTGGTTCTGAGCTTTTTTGAGAGGTTGTGAGGCCGAATCGCGCCGAGCCCAGGACCCATGTCGAGACAAAAGGTGTTGAAATTGCCGGGAATTGAAATTGGCGCGGGACAGGTGTACTGTCGGTGAACTTTCATTCTGAAGGTTCACACGAAATTTTTGTTAGAGAAGTTCTTAGTCCAGTTAGTATGTAGTAGTTACTAATCGAGGCCCTAACAATAACCCTACAGTGGTTCCAGGGGCTTTACGAATCACCATTCGCGCTGTCAATCGAAGGTATTCCGTACCGACGGTCACATGATGATTTACAGTACAAATTCTCGAACTTCGAGAAACCATCGAGTCGCCTACGGCGGTTCGCTAGTGGTCAATTATCCCGAACAGTCGTCGGTTCGCGCATGTGCGCGGCCAAACCTCCTCTCCGTCCCTTTCTCTGCCAATGAATCCCCCTTGCGCATGTTTCCGCTCTCCCCCCTTCACCATTGTCTCAGCGTTTTTGCAGCTCCACAAAATCAAACCCCTAGCCCTGGTTGCCATCGCCGACAGCGACGAATCGCTGATGATCTGCTTTCCGAATCGCCGACAGCGATGATCTGCTTCCCGAATCGCTTTTCCGCCGCGCAATCACCCAAGCCGCTCATTTTACAGCTTCCCATCCGCGTTAGAAGCGAGCTGCGAGCTCCCTGCGTGTCGCTGAACATTCCCGTGTGGAGACATGGATGGGAAACTTCAGCCTCTGGGATTTGACGAGAATTCGAAGTACAAATACCGGGCGAAAACCTCTTCGACTTCAATCCAACATTCTCGTTCAGGCAGAATTCGCCCCACCTTTACCAAAAGCCTTTCTTTCGACAACGTTCACACTCTTTGAATCCTGCAGTTGCAAGGAATTCGTGCAGTCATGGCTGCGAATCTCGTCCGCCGGGCCATCGCACTGCTCGTCGTGTCTCTCCTTTGCCTCTCCTTCGCGCCGGCCGCGGACGCCGTGCACCGGCCGTACTGCCGCTTCGACGGGAAGCTGGTGGTGAGCAACCTGGTGAGGGAGCTCAAGGCGGCCAAGAAATACTCCACGTTCCTCGACGGGCTCAGGAAAACAGGTCAGAATCGATTATTTGCTCCGAGTGGGAGCGGAGAATCTGTATCTTCGTCAAATCTTTCTTTGCTCGCTGTATTGTTTCGATCTGTTTTTGTTCTGCCCGCTGTCGTCGCGCCTCGCCAGGAGCTGGACAAGGACCTGCGCGACCTGTTCCATGATTGCTACGTTACATGCCCTTCAACTCATGAATTCATCCGTTCGCACACTTTCCTTACCCAACGTTCTCTCACGGTGGACGTTTTCCCCCAGGGCTGGACAAGGATCTGCCCGACCTGTTCCACTGCTACGAGGCGACCGTCTTCGCGCCCACCGACGCTGCATTCGCGGATCTCTCGAGCAGCGTCAAATCCAAGCTTAGCGATAAGAAGGTGCTTCGCGAGGTGCTGCTGCTGCACATCGTCAAGGGCAAGAAATCCAACGCCAAGCTGGTCGAACAGAAGAAGGGCCACCAGGTGAGGATAAAAGGATATCCTACGCAATTCAACTTGCGCCGGCGGTGTTCCTTTTGCTACTAAGAGATGAGTACAACTGTTAAGTTAGCTTCGTTTTCATCCACACTCTCGTTGTCTCCCTCGTTTTCTCCCGCGCATCTAACGTCAAGTCACTTTGTTTCCACCCCTATCCCGCGTTTTCCCTCTGCAGTACGAAGCTGCAGCAGACTACTGCAAGGCGCGTCTGGTGAAGGTGTCATCTGCGGGGACCAAGAAGGTCAAGGTGAAGGCTGAGGGCAGTAAGGACGAAGCTGCCGTGGTGGCTGCTGACGTGGTGTCGCTGAGGGTGGTGGTGGCACATGGTGTGGATGACGTCATCCTGCCCAAGACCCTCTGCAAGGGCGACAGCAGCAGCCTCAAGCCTAAGAAGTGCATTGCCTGGTACAACTGAGCTGGTTACCAGATAAGCTGGTTACCAATTGAGCTTTTTGCCAGCCTATGTTAAGCTGTCAAAAGTACTACCCTGAGTTTGCAATGCTTGGGATGAGCTTGCTGTTTCCACTGAGTTTGCCATCTGCAGTGCATGCAGCATGCCCTGTAGTGGTTGCTTGCCTTGGCTGCTGCAGGCAGAGGCATGGGGTTGGTTGTTAGGCTAGAGACTGCTGCTGTTGCCCTTGCCCAGGCTGTGGGAGGCAGAGGCATGGATTGCTTGTTTGTTTCGGTGGGCTGGGCTCTCTGTGATGCAAGACAGGGTAGGTAGATGTCGCTTGTGGATATGGTGTGTGCTAGAAATCTGCAATAAAATGTGCGAGATCATTGGAGATCTCAAGGATCAGTTAGAGTAATCCTGCTACCATGCCGGATGCATGCAGCAGCAACAGCAACACATTGTCCCCTCCTCCTAAGCACCCTGTAGCACTGAATGTGACCATTTTCTTTCCTTGCCTGGTCGACATCTACTTCCCACATGTGTGTCAAAATGAAGGATGAATGATGCATTGATGTTGGTTGGGGTACATATAGCTAACCCTAAGTTTTGTACCCCCTAAGACAAACCTCACTATAGGCTACAACATTTGACACACCCCCATAGCCTAAGTGAGGGGTGTCTAGCAGAACCAAACGAGTACGGTCACAAGACCAGTCCAAGAAATGAAGCTCAGGGTGGATCACAACGTCACCACACAGTCTGAGCACAAACAACAGTGGCCACAAGGCCAGTCCAAGAAGTAACAGAGGTATATAGAAAGCAAAGTAAACAGTACACTCAAGTCTAAGCAACACGAGAACCAGTGTCAACAAGGCCTAACTGCACACAGCACCTCTGGTGGTCACAAGGCGGAAGCGCCTTGGTGAAGATGTCTGCAGTGTTGGCCTCGGACTCCACAAACTCAAAGCGAGCCTGTCCACGCCTCTGCAACTCTCGCAGAAGAAAGTACCTGACGTGAATGTGCTTCACTCTGCTCTCCAGTCGTGGCTCTCGACAAAGGAGAATAGACGCCTTGTTGTCAGTGAACAAGGTCGGTGCAGAGCTCGGCCGCTCACCAAGGTCGGTGAGCAAGAAGGTCAACCAACGCAGCTCCTGTGCCGCCATGGCACCAGCGTAGATCTCAGCCTCAGCTGTAGAGGTCGAGACCGAAGAGGAGCGCGTGGACCGCCAGGAAACAGCTCCGAAACCCAGGCTGAAACAGTACCCCTGAGTAGACCTGTGAGTCTCAGCGTCGTCAGCGTAAGAGGAGTCACAGTGACCAGTAAGTACGACAGACTGCTGCCCTCCAAGAACTAGCCCCACGCCTGACGTCGTCGCTAGGTACTTCGCCACCCTCACAGCTGCTGTCCAGTGAACAGGACGGTGTCTCCCTAGCGCAACAAAGCGCGCAAGAACGCTGAGAGGGAAGGCGAGGTCCGGGCGAGTACAAGTCATCAGGTACATGAGGCAACCCACAAGCTCTGCGTAGGGACCACTAGGCTCGAACGGCTCGTCAGGAAAGGGTCCAGTGAGTCTGTGGTCAACAGCAAGAGGTGTGCGCTGTACTGTGGAGTGCTGAAGCCCGAACCGCTGAAGGACCTGCTGCACCATGTGCGACTGTGAAAGTGTAATGGTGCGAGCAGCTCTGTCCCTGGTGATCTGCAGGCCAAGGTAGTGGCGCAGCTCACCAAGATCAGTGCAGGTGTGTCTCTTCTGCAATTCGGACTTCACGTGTGCTAAAGCAACCCTGTCAGGGGTGGCGAAAACAAGGTCGTCAACGTAGACCAGAACAAAGAAAGGTGTGGGGCCACGACGAACGAACAGCGACGGGTCAGCAGAAGACGGCTGGAACCCAAGGTCAGACAGGGTAGAACGCAGGGTGTCGTGCCACTCACGAGGAGCCTGACGAAGACCGTAAACCGGTCGCCTCAGCCTCCACTGGGTCCCAGGAGGGAAAGAGCCAGTGAAGGCAGAGGGACGACGCAACCAGACCTCCTCGTGAAGACTGCCCTGAAGGAAAGCAGTAGAGAAGTCGAGAGAGTGTAACTCGTAGTCTCTCTGTGCTGCTACGTGTAGTAACACCCGAAGAGTGGTCATCTTCGGGGTGGGCGCGAAGGTCTGAAAGAAGTCAACTCCCTCGCGCTGACTGAAACCTCTAGCCACGTAGCGCGCCTTGAAGACCGGAGGAGATCCCGGTGGCCGCTTCACCCTGTAGATCCACATGCCGTCGACTACGTTCGCCCCCGGAGGGGGAACCTCATCGACGTAGGTGCCTGTGGATCTGTAAGAGGCCATCTCTGCGTCCATGGCAGCTCTCCACTGAGAGGCCCAAGGCCCTGACACTGCCTCAGCGTAAGTGCGAGGAGTCGGAATGTCAAGGGCGTCAGGGTCACCCTCAGGGGCGAGGAGCATGGCACAGAGATGAGGGGAAGCGGCGGCCAGGAACTCTAGCTCAAACTGCCTGTCCTCTAGGGCGTCACAGCCAAGGGCAGACACACCCCCGACGGCCAGAGGACTGGAAGGAGGAGCAGCCACAAGAGCGGTGGCGAAGTCAAGGCGGCGGGTAGAGGCAAACTTAGTGACTGCGGCAGTAAGAGCGGACACAGAGGACACAGAGGCACGAGGGTGAGTAACAAGCGAGGCGAGAACACGAGAGAGAAGAGGACGGTACGTGCGGTAGTAGTCAGTGACAGGAGTAGGGAGCGACGCAGTGAGGGCCGACTCAGGAGGAGACGGAAGCACAGACGGAGACGGACGAGGTGGACTAGAACGAAGTAAGGCAGTACGAAGGTCAGTGAAGGGAACAGGAGACGAGGGACGAGCACGAGGGGAGCGACGAGAGGCCCAAGTCTGAGAAGGAGGAGGGGACAACGAAGACTGAGAACGAGGGAAAACAGCGGGAGAGGGGTCAGGAGGAGGAAGCGGAGGACCAGAGACGGGAGGAGAGGGGGAGGAGGAAGGAGAGGGAGAGGGGAGACCAAGGGTCCGAAGACCCGAGACAGGAGGAGGAGACGGCAGCTGCTGCTGCTGCGGCTGCTGCGGCTGCTGCTGCTCCAGCGGCTGCTGCCCCTGCTGCTGCTCCTGCTGCTGTCGCTCCTGCTCCTCGAGCCGCTGCAACTCTCTCTCCTCTCTCTCCAACTCCAGCTGCTCCTCACGAGCACGGCGAACACGAGCCTGGAACCTGGTCGGGTAGGGGTGGGGGGAAGGAGTAGTGTCCGGGGCAGCGGCAGCCCCAGAGTCGACCTCCGAAGCACCAAGCACACCACCCCCAGAGGCAGCACCAACACCAGCTCCAGACCCAGGCTCTCCAGAAACCGAAGGGACACCCTCACCCCCAGACGCAGCACCCCCAGACTCCGCACCAGCACCCCCAGACTCCGCACGACCAGTACCAGCCCCCGGAAGACAAGAGTCCTCTGCAACCCGCGGCTCAGCTCCAACTCCAGCACCCCCAGAACCAGAGACCTGTACAGGGACAGTCGCAGGACCAACCTCTCGAGAGGGAGCACCTGCAGGAGGCGGCGAGGAAGACTGTGGGGAGGGAGGCTGTACAGGGGGGGCTACCGAAGGGGGAGGGCTAGCCTGAGACACACCAGACGGGGCTGGACCAGGGGGGGGAGGGAGTACCGGGGGAGCAGGCGGGGGAGCGGCTGTCAGGAAGAGGGGGGGAGGAGGAACCGGGAGACCTCGACTGGGGTACCTGACGTAGTAGGGGGTGGACTCCTCGAAACGGACGTCACGGGAGTCAAAGAACCGGTGAGAGGGAGGGTGGTAAAAGGTGAAGTCAGAGGAGTCCGCAGGGAAACCAAGGAAGACACAAGGAACGGCGCGAGGCGAGAGCTTGTCCGCGGAGGTGTCGCGGACAAGAGCCAAGCACCCCCAGACACGAAACCTCGACGCGACACCAGGGGACCCTGTCCAAAGACTGGTCGGTGAAGCCTCCGGCCGAGAGACGCGTGGCCAGAGGTTCAGCTGGTGCGCGGCGTACCTGACTGCGTATGGCCACAGGAAATGGGGGGCACGGGCGTGAGTCAAGGAGGTGCGGGCAATCTCCATGACCAGGCCTATGCGACGCTCAGCAACCCCATTCTGCTGTGGGGACTCCGGAAGCGTCCAGGACTGACGAATGCCCTGTTCGCGACAGAATCCAGCGAGAATGCCGGAGCGAAACTCGCCCCCGCGGTCGGAGTGGAGACAGCTGACACGACGACCACGAGTGTCCTGGGTGGTAAGCAACCACCTGATCAGCGTAGAAGTCACCTCAGACTTCCTCGCCAGGGGGAACACTGTGGTGTAGCGGGAGTAGTCGTCAACGACCACCAAAAAGAAACGCTCACGCTCAGGGCCAGGGCGAGGAGAGGGGCCCCAGACGTCCAAGTGCAGCGTCTCAAAAGGCTCGGTGGCCGGACGAAGGGAGGAGGAGTGAGGGGTGGCACGCAGCCTACCCTCGACGCAAGGACCGCACGGTGGTGCAAGGGACGGCGGCAGCGACGGCAAGACACGCGGGAGACCTAAGACCAGACGCTGACTAGACATAGCACGCAGACGTGGAAGAGAAGGGTGTCCCATCCGGTGGTGCCACAGAACGGTGGGGTGGGCAAGCGACCGACAGGAGCAAGACGCAGCGACTGGACTGGACGCGACAACCTGAGGGGACGGAACCACCTGGTGAGACGCAGGGAGGAGACTAGGGGGAGGGACAGGAACTGGGAGGAGTGGCTGCTGCGACGGCGGCCGCTGTGGCTGCGGCTGCGGCTGCTGCTGCGGCTGCTGCTGCTGCTGCTGCTGCGGCTGCTGCGGCTGCTGCTGCTGCTGCAGTCGCTGCTGAGCGCGCGGGCGAGTGTGAAGAGTGTAGAGACCGGAGCCCGGCTCAGCAGCAAAAGTGGCGAGGGGCTGGTAAGAGTCCCCGTCAACACACACCGCAGTCTCTCCAGAAGGCTCAAACCACACACCCACGTGCTGACTCACGAGGGGTCGCACGCCCACCAAGTTCCGGGAGAACGAGGGGACGTGAAACCCAGTGAGAGACCCAGAAGGAGCAGCCGGACACGGCAAGGTGGTAGTGTGACGCGCGGTGACTGGTCCCGAAGTGGGATCAGCCAGCGCCACAGAAACAGGCGCAGGAAGAGGCGTAAGTGTCGTGCTGTCACGAAAGAAGCAGTGAGAGGCTCCAGAGTCCAGCGTGAACGACAGCGAACCGTCCTCTGAGGTAGCCGCTGGACTAGAGTCTACACAAGAACCTACACTAGCAACAGGCAACTGAGCAAGGCTAGCACCTAAGCTAACAACACCAGAGTAAGCAGAGTCAGAAACACTAGAGTCAACAACAGCATACATAGCATGGGGAGTACCAATCAGATCAACTAACTGCTCAGCAGACATGCCCCACAGAGCGGAGCCGTAGCGCTGAACAAGAGGCAGCCAGTCAGGGGCAGGAGCACCAACCCCGTAGACCAAACGAACCGTGTCAGTGAGCTGAGCAAAGCACTGACCAGGGGGGTGAAACCGGCCACAAGGGTGGCCACGACGAGGGCCTGTCAGAACCTGGTAGGTGCAGGGAGTGTAAGCAGCACCACGCTGGGTCTGACGCAGCCCCGACCCTGGAGCCAGCTGCTGCCGCTGCTGCTGCTGAGGCTGCTGGGAGGAGAGGGGCTGCTGGTGCTGCAGAAGCTGCTGCTGACGCTGAGCCTGGTACCACGCCGCTGCTCCACCAACCGGGGCAGGAAGTACAGGAGGCGACTGACGAACTCGGGCGTCGCCACCACTAGCAGGCGCAGTGGAGTCACCAGTCACTGCACGAGGCGCCTCTCCAGGCCCTGAACCTCCACCGCCGCCAGGCGCAACGCCACCTCCACTACCTCCGCCTCCACCTCTGATACCATGTCAAAATGAAGGATGAATGATGCATTGATGTTGGTTGGGGTACATATAGCTAACCCTAAGTTTTGTACCCCCTAAGACAAACCTCACTATAGGCTACAACATTTGACAATGTGACCCTAACATCTTCACCATGGCAGCAGGCAGCTTAGCACACACGGTAAAGCAAATGCCTTCCCAGCTCCTCTCCTCCCATGGGATGACGGCACACTACACCAACAGAAATAAGCCGATGCATCATCATTCTACCATAGGCTCCCGGATAGAAGACCCAGAGGGGTCGTATATGGGTAGCGAGAAACTTAGGGTGAACAGCAGGGTGTGGCACCTTCTTTTAGGACCCCAGGGTCCTCTATGCATGGAGTTTAGGCATCAAGCCATTAAACTGACGTGCGCATCGTCTGGTTTCACTGTCGGTTACTCATCCGTTACACATCCCACTACACATCCTGATACGCCTTCACTGATTACCACAGCTAGTGCAGGCGATTAGCTTTTCCATAGGCATGGCGAGGGCGGTTGATGAGCTGCAGCAGGCTGTACACCCAGCGATCCAGCATGCCTGGAGGAGGGATGGGATGGGCATGGTAGGGAGGTGCAGGGTGAGATGGAGGGCAGCATGGCATGAGAGAGGAAGGCAGGGAGTTCATGAGCTGCAGTAGGCTGTACACACCCAGCGATCCAGCATGCCTGGGGGGGATGAGGATGGAGGCAGAGAGGTGCAGGGCGAGAGAGGGAGGGAAGGACATGATAGTTGGCAGGATGGCATGAGACAGGAGGTGCAGCAGCAGGCTGTGCTGTGCACCCACTGAGCGATTCAGCATGCGTGGGGGAGGGACGGGATGCCCAGGGCAGGAAGACATCGGGTTTTGAGTCGACTCAAAACTGAGCCTTTCCCACCTATGCGCCCCACCCACCTGTGCGCCCCACCCACCTGTGCGCCCCACCCCCCTGTGCGCCCCACCCCCCTGTGCGCCCCACCCCCCTGTGCGCCCCACCCCCCTGTGCGCCCCACCCACCTGTGCGCCCCACCCCCCTGTGCGCCCCACCCCCCTGTGCGCCCCACCCCCCTGTGCGCCCCACCCACCTGTGAGGGCGCATGTGAGGCGAGTGAGGAAGTATGGAGCAGCCAAGGATGAAAAGAGCACAAACCCCCCTGTGCGCCCCACCCCCCTGTGCGCCCCACCCACCTGTGAGGGCGCATGTGAGGCGAGTGAGGAAGTATGGAGCAGCCAAGGATGAAGGGGCAGAGGAGCAAATATGCTGCCCCGCCCACGAGTGAGCGCGAATGTACCGTTTCACCCACCTGAGAGCGCGAACGTGCCGCCCAAGACGGCACAGAGGCGCGTGAGGAAGTGGAAGAAGCTGCGGTGGCGACTCGGTGATGCTCGATATGACTACCCCACCCACACATGCACCCTGCACCCTGCACCCTGCACCCTGCACCCTCCTGTGAGCCATACCCCTTACCCACCTGTGAGTGCGAACGTGCCACCTAAGACGGCGCAGAGGCGAGTGAGGAAGTGGAAGAAGCTGCGGTGCGACTCGGTGATGCTCACTGCTATGGGGGAGAGGTCGTACAGGAAATACACCGCTGCAGAGAGGGGAGGGGTGGGGAATGGAAAGGGGGAGGGGGGGGGAAGAGTAAGTGGGTGGTGATGAGGGAAGCTGCGGTGGGACTCGGTGATGCTCACTGCGATGGGGGAGAGGTCGTACAGGAAATACACCGCTGCAGAGAGGGGAGGGGGACCGTGAGGGGGACACGCGCAGGGGAAAGAGAGTAGAGGGCGGAGACTGAGGCGGCTGCGGAAGGAGCAGGTCTGCTTCCCTAACCCTGGACCGGGCCATAGGCGACGGGCCATAGGCGACGGGCGATAGGTTGTAGAGGAAGTAGACCGCTGCAGAGGGGGAGGGGAAATGACTTTTGAGTCGACTCAAAAGTCACCTCGATAGGTTGTAGAGGAAGTAGACCGCTGCAGAGGGGGAGGGGAAGGGCGGGTGGAGAGGGGGAAAGGGGCGGAACGAGAGTAGAAGGGTGTAGAGTGGGGAAACTACGGTGTGAGTATGTGATGTTGACTGTATGGGCGAGAGGTTGTAGAGGAAGTAGACTGCTGCATGAATGGGAGGGGGTATCGGGAGAGGGGGGAGATGCAGAGAATTTTAAGGATAGGTCACACACGTGGGGTGGGGTTCTAAGGATAGGTGTGCATGCGCATACCTGGCAGGGCGTTGGACTGCGGTGAGGAGGGTGTGAAGTATTCACTAATGGATGGAGAGAGAGAGAGAGCGAGTGGGCACTACCTGAGGGCACACGCACATGTGCATATCTGGCTGTGCATGTGTGCATGTGGCAGTGTGCATGCGCATACCTGGCAGGGCGTTGGACTGCGGGGAGGAGGCCGTGAAGTATTCACTGATGGAGTACTGACTCGACCTCACATGGTGATAAATGAGTACTGCTTTGAGACGTCTCAATACCTGGCAGAGCGTTGGACTGTGGAGAGGAGGCCGTGAAGTATTCACTGATGGAGTACTGATTCGTCTTCACAACGCCTCCGTGCCAGAAGTGGAAGCGCGTGGGCACCACCTGAGGAGAGGCAGGGGTTGCATGGTGGGAAGGGCGTGCACTGAATCGTATTGCACCGCTCCCAACCCACTTGAATTCACCGATGGAATACTGGTTGGTCTTCACAACGCCCCTTCCAGAAGCGGAGGTGAGTGGGGCACAACGCACCACCTGAAAGAACATGCTGAACCGTGTCGTATATGGAAGGTCGTGGACTGAACCGTGCTGCACCGTGCCCAACCCACTTGGAACCACCGATGGAGAACTGGCTAATATTCACAGAGCTCCGGTGCAGAGCAGTGGTTGGGTTGGGATGGGTTGGGTTGGGTTGGGATGTGCCAGCCGATACCAGCCGATAACCTCGCATGCATATCATGCATGTGATGCATGTGGTGCATGTGATGCAGCTCACATGTCGGACGCTCACGAGCCGACGAGCCGACGAGGTGATAAGCTTTTTGGTCCTCTGAGGTGACAAGCTTTTTGGTCCTCTGAGGTGACAAGCTTTTTGGTCCTCTGAGGTGACAAACTTCGTTTGCGTCCTCTGCTGGCGGACCCGGATGCATGACTTCTGAGTCGACTCAAAAGTCACCTCGTTTTGAGTCGACTCAAAAGTCACCATTTGCGTCCTCTGCTGGCGGACTCAGATGCATGCTGGCTGGTGTGCGTTGCTGCTGCTGAGGAAGAGCAACGCAACAGCATCGCTCCTCAACTGCGCTGCTGGCGGACTCGGATGCATGCTGGATGTACCTTGCGGACTCGGTCCTCCCCTTCATTCAGAGGCGGCAAGATGGAAGGGAGAAGCGTGCGGTGGAGTGTGGTAGAGTGCGGTGGAGTGCAGTGGAGATGGCTCACCTTGAGGAAGTACTTGAAGGTGCCACTGGATCTGGCGGGGTCCTCCCCTTCCTTGAGGGGCGGCAGGATGCGGACAAAACCGTCCAGAGGGTTGAGCCGCCCGGGATAAGGCACTCCGAAACCGAGCGAGTGGATGATGTGAGACACGTTCACATCGCCCACCGATGAGAATACCTGGTGTGGGGGGGGGGAAGGTAGAGGAAGGAACTGGGGGGTTGAGGTGGCCGGGATAGCTAGGGCACTTGGAAAGCCAGCGAGTGGATGATGTGACTCACGTTCACATCGCCCACTGATGAGAACACCTGAGAAAAGGGGGGAGGAGGTGGGGGAGGGGAGGTAAAAGGGAAGGGAAGGAAGGAAGGAAGGCGCTGCTGCAGTTGAGACAGACACGAAAGTAGAGGGAGAAGCGGAAGAAGAAGAAGGCACTCCAAAGCTGAGAAGTACATAATGTGAGCCATGTTGACATGGACAACTTGCATGATGGGCGATTGATGGTGATTGGGACTGATTGATTGATGGTGACATGAGCATACGGGTCGAGTCAGCGTCACACCAAGCAACCACCCCACCTGCTGCAGCACGAGGTAGGACTGGCCGTGCACCGATACAAGGAAGTTGATTGATGCGTGCTGCACCTGCTGCATCAATCCCACTGCACCACACACAACCGCAGCATACCTGCTGCAGCACGAGGTAGGACTGGCCGTGCACCGATACGTGGAAATTGCCTGCCACCCGCTCCACTGACAGATGGCCATACAGCTGGGGAGAGGGAAGAGGGGGCATGGAGCACAGAGCAGGGAGTGAAGGGAAAGGCAAAGGGGAACAGAGACATGGAAGTTACCCGCCACCCTCTCCCCCGGCAGCCATGGCCTTCTGAACATCCCGCACCGTCTGCTCCAGCCCCACCACCTCCTCCCCTCTGCCTCCCCACAAATCGACATAGACACACACACGCACGCACGCACGCACGCACGCACGCACACACACACGCACCTGGCTCCAGCCCTGTCTTTCCCCACCTACTGCCTTTCCCCCCTCCCACCCTGCCCCACAAACATGCCCACCCCCCACACGTCCTTGACATGCCTTCTGAACGTCCACCACCGTCTGCTCCAGCCGTCATTCCTCACTCTTTGACTCCCCATACACCCCGTCAACACATGTGCCACCACCCAACACACATTACCCACCTGGCACCCCTCCCCGGCAGCCATGGCCCTCTGAACGTCCAGCACTGTCTGCTCCAGCCCCACCGCCTTCCCCCCCCCACACGGCACCCCCAACACCGACACACACACATGCACCTGCCCACCCAACCCACACGGACTACCTACCTGACACCCCTCCCCAGCAGCCATGGCCTTCTGAACGTCCCGCACCGTCTGTTCCAGCCCCACCGCCTTCTCCCCCTCCACCTCCTCCTCCTCGCCCTCGTCCTCGTCCCCTTTCCCCTTCTTCCCTCCTGCCACGTGAGCCTGCCCGTACCCGTGCGCGTGCCCATGCCCATGGTGGGGCGTGGGGGATTTACCATGCGAGTGGCCTGTGTATGGTAATAGAAAAGGGGAAGGAGTACCAATGCACGAGTTGCCTGAGATATAGCACACATGCGCCTGCCCGTACCCATGTGCGTGCCCAGGCGCATGGTGGGGCGTGGGGGATATAGCACACATGCGCCTGCCCGTACCCATGTGCGTGCCCAGGCGCATGGTGGGGCGTGGGGGATTTCTTGTGCACGTGTCCTGCGATAGGGAAGGAAGAAGAAACAGGAAGGCAAGTGTTGGTTTACTCTATCCCCCTCCACCTTCCCCTTCTGTAACCCTGCCAAGTGTGCCTGTACGTACCCATGCGCGTGCCCATGCCCATGGTGCGGTGTGGGGGTTTACTGTGCGAGTGGCCTGTGGTGGGAAAAAAAAAAGGCGAAGGGGATGTTCGTTTGCCATGCACAACACAGGCACCTACGTGTGCGGTGCCTGCCAGTACCCGTGTGCGTGCCCATGCCCATGGTGGGGCATGCAGGATTTACCGTGCGTGTGACCTGTGGTGGGGAAGGAAGCAGTAACGGGAAGGCATGTGCTGGTTTACTCTATCCCTCCCCCACTTTTCCCTTATGTCCGCCTGCCATGTGTGCCTGCCATGTGTGTCTGCCCCACCCGTACCAGTGCGAGTAAGCATGGTGGGGCGTGGGGGATTTGCCGTGCGTGTGGCCTGTGGGAAGAGGGGAACAGTGTGGAGGATTTGCCACGAGTTATATGCACAGGTGCGCAGGTGCACAGGTGCACAGCTGCATGCATAACACATGCACCCACGTGTGCTGCGCCTGCCCGTACCGTGCTCATGCCCATACCCATAGTGGGGTGCGGGGGATTTACCATGCACCCAAGTGTGCCCCGGTACCCATGCACTTGTCCACAGTGGGGCGTGGGCGACTAGCCATGCGTGCGGCAAGTTCCTCACGTGTGCCCTGTGTCTTGCTTTATCCCCGTGTTCACTTTCAGTCTCTTTGAATAGAAGTGGCTTTCATGAGTTTTCAAAAGTGTGAACGCTTTCAATCACGACTTCCTCGATCACCTCGCCGCGTCCTGCCCCAAGCTGAAAGCGTTGCATGTCACACCAAAGAAAACAATCGGTTTTTCGCCGTATGTAGTATGGAAGATATACTTTTGGTGACCGATGCTGGACTGTACATCTTCTTCCGTCGCTGCTCGCAGTTGGAGCAGCTCATACTCCACCGTCGCGTCGCGCTACCGCCGTCCTTCTTTCAGCTGGCGAATCTGCGCTCTCTGTATCTCATCAACGCCTTCGTTCTCTTGAATTCAAGCTTGACGAATCTCTCTAACCTCTCAACTCTCACCATCGTGATCCTCCCTTAAGGGTGGACCACCTGCAAGCTCTCACTCATCTCACCGCACTTACCAGACTATCCTTACGCGCTTCCTCCTTCTCGTTCGGCCTTCTGCCATCCCTCCAATCTGTGGTGTGTATCATTGAATGCAACTCGTTTTTGTTTGGATTTCAGTGCGTTCCTGAAGCGTCTGTCGCTATCACATTGCGACGATCTCACGCGTATTCTTGACGGCATCCAAGACTTGCTGCCATCGCTTGAAGAGCTGTGCCTCACTTGGTGCTCCGCTTTGATTGCTCCGCCTCTGCAAGCTGCTGAGGGAAGAAAATCCGTCTGTCAGATCAGTCAGTCAAAGCGGAGCACTAAGTGAGGCGCAACTTTTCAACCGATGATACCGAACCTTGGATGCCGTTAAGGATACGCGTGAGATCGTCGTAATGTGAGGAGAGACACATCAGCAATCTGCACTGGGATCCAAACAAAACCAAGTTGCATTCGTGGACATGCCGGAGATTGGAGGGATGGCAAGAGGCCGGACGAAAAGGATGAAGGTCCCGAAATTTGTAAATGAATGGAAGTGCGCAAAGATTGTCTGGTAAGGGCGGTGAGATGAGTGAGAGCTTGCATGTGGTCCACCCTTAAGAGAGACGACACGAAGGTGAGAATTGAGAGGTTAAAAAGATGCACCAGGCTTGGATTCAAGAGAACGGAGACATTGGTGAAATACAGAGAGCGCAGATTCGCCAGCTGAAAGAAGGACGGCGGTAGCGCGACGCGACGGTGGAGTGTGAGCTGATTCAACTGCGGGCAACAACGAAAGAAGTCGTCCAGCCCAGCATCGGTCACCGAAAGTAAATCCTTCCACACGGCAAATAACAGAATTGTTCTCTCAGGTGCTACATACAGCGCTTTCAGCTTGGTGCAGGACGCGGCGAGGTGATCGAGGAAGTCATCGTTGAGATCGTTCACAAACTCCAATCATGCCCTTTCCCCCCCCACACATGCACAACAGCCCCAAAACAAACCTCACAATTGGGCTTCTCGAATCACAACAGCCCCCTTGTGCTGTCGGCATGCCTCTATGGGGTCCGTGAACAACTGCACTCTTGTCCCCGTCAAACATCCCGCAACAGAACCACCCATAGTAACATCCTTCCCCCTCCCTCCCCAACCCCCTTCTGACCTCACCTTTGCGCTTCTTGCTCTTGCTCTGCCGCCACGCCCCCGTGGGGTCCTTGAGCCAACGCGAGTCGGCCAACTGACCATGGCGATCCAAACGAATCTGACGGGCGGGGAGGGGGGAGGAGGGAGAGGGAGGGAGAGGGAGGGAGAGGGAGGGAGAGGGTGCAGAGGGAGGGAGAGGGAGGGAGAGGAGAGGGAGGAAGGGAGGGAGAAGAGGGAGAAGGGGGGGGAGAGGGTGGGCGAAGGGGTCCTTATGAAATGAGCTGAGCTGAGTGCACAGGTGGGGTCCTTGAGCCACCTCGAGTCTGGCAACAGACCATGACGGTCTAGACGAATCTGAGGAGGGAAATTGGAGAGAGGAGGGCACTGCTGGTGGTGGGGGGGGCGGAGGAGGAAGAGGGCAGCATGCAGGAAGGAGTAACCTAAGTGCACGGATGAGTGCACGAGCCACCGTGAGTCTGCCAACCAGCCATGGCGGTCCAGACGGATCTGAGGAGGGAAAAAGGAGAGAGCAGGAGGGTGCCAGTGGTGGTGGGGGGGGGCAGAGGAGGAAGAGGGCAGCGGGCAGGTAGGAGTGATCTGAGTGCACGGATGGGGTGCTTGATTCACCGTGAGTCTGCCAAGTCAACCGGCAGGGGAAGGCCAAAGGAGAGCGAGAAGCGGGGAGGGGGGAGGAGAGAATGGGGATATAGGGGGGGAAGCGGCGTGTGGAGCAGAGGGAGTAAGGGTGTGAGGGAGGAGATGCGATGGGGGGTGCGGCCCACCGCCTTGCTATGCTATGGTGATGCAGACGGGTCTATATTGATTTTATGTTTAAGAATCCTTGGGAATTCTCAACGGATGAAAGGTTAGGACATGGAGTGGCAGATGAAGGGCGGGATGGATATGGGCAATGAGACTAACGGCAAAGGGTGAGGTAAATCTGAGCAACCTGTACTCGTTAACGAAACAGCTCATCATACAATTAAGGTACCCGTTATGAAACGCCTCGTTATACAATGTGATTGCTTAAAAAACCTTGTTATACCTTGTATTCGCTAAGGACAGCCCATGCTAAGGAAAGCCCATCATACCATGTACTCGTTATGCAAAGCCTCGTTATACCTTGTACATGTTTGTTGCGATGTCCACCTCATGGTTGCCCGACATGTCCAGCACATCGAGACCGAGTTAGAAGCAGATGTTATGATCCACCTGTTCCAGCGTCACTGGGTTACAGTGAGTGATGTACCTCGGTGATTTTTGAGTCGACTCAAAAAGTACCTTGTACATGTTGGTTGCGATGTCCACCTCGTGGTTGCCCGACATGTCCAGAGCATCGAGACTGATCACTGCGGCGCACACACATGCATGGGTGGATATGCAATGCACGCACGCACGCACGCACGCACACACGCAAGCACAAACGCACACACGCACACGCACGCCCACACGCACACGCACGCACGCACGCACGCACGCACGCATGCACGCACGCACGCACGCACGCACGCACGCACGCACACACACACACACACACACACACGCACACACGCACACACGCACACACACACACACACCCACCCGAGCCCACACCCGCACCCGCACCCGCAACCACACCCCATCCCACCACCCCACCCCCACCCATAAGTGCAGGCAACGGCAGGTGATTTACTAAAGCAGAATACCAGCTGATCCACGGCAACTTAAACGAATGGGGCGGAGATCATTCAAGATGCACTTCATACTAGAACAAACATGGAACGAAATAAAGGGTGGCGTGTACGAAGGAAGGGGAGAAAAAGAGGCGTGTATGAAGGAAGGGGAGAAAGAGAGCGTGTACGAAGGAAGGGGAGAAAGGGTGGCGAGTACGAAGGAACGAGAACTTGCAAAAGCGAAACAGGACAATGGAAGGTGGAAAAAGGTGGAGCGGAGAGGACAGGTGGGAAGCAGGGGAGGGGAGAAAGATGGGGAAAGGTGGGAGGGAGGGAGGAGAGGGGAGATGGATGGGGAGGGGAGAGGGATGGGGAGGGGAGAGGGATGGGGAGGGGAGAGGGATCGGGACAGGTGGGAGGGAATGGCGGAGGATGTTGCAAGCATACCATTGCAGGCAGGACGAAAGGAGACAACAAGGGAAGGGATTAAGGAGAGGAGTGGGGAAGAAGGGGGATGGAGAGGAGGAAAGGGCAGAGGAGAGAGGGACAAGGACAGGTGGTTGGGTGGGTGGGAAAGGAGGCACGTCAATGCTGCTGCGCTCACCGTTGCAGGGCAGCGAGGGGAAGGAGATGTTGAGATACACGTCTAGCTTCTCGTCCCTTGGCGTCTTGTCCACTGCCATCTGTGGGGGCAGGGGGAGGGGAACGGCGGGGCAGGAGGGGAGGGGAGGGAGGGGAATGGAGGGGAAGGGAGGGGAAGGGAGGGGAAGGAAGGGGAGGGGAGGGGAAAGAGATGTTGAGATACACGTCTAGCTTCTCGTCTCTTGGCGTCTTGTCCACTGCCATCTGTGGGGGCAGGGGGAAGGGGAATGGCAGGACAGGAGGGGAGGGGAGGGGGAGGGAGGTACGTACGGCACCGTCGTCGCAGGGCCGAGGGAAGGGAGGGGGGGGTGGGGAGGAGGAGGTTTCAGATGCACGTCTAGCTTCTCATTCCTTGGCGTCTTGTCCACTGCCATCTGTGGGGTGTGGGGACGGGATGGGAGGGAAGGGTGAGGAGGGGGAGGGGAGGGAGGGGAGGGGAGGGGAGGGGAGGGGAGGGGAGGGGAGGGGAGGGGAGGGGAGGGGAGGGGAGGGGAGGGGAGGGGAGGGGAGGGGAGGGGAGGGGAGGGGAGGGGAGGGGAGGGGAGGGGAGGGGAGGGATGGGAGTGAGGGGAGTGGGGGGGGAGGGAAATGGAGCGGAGAGGAGCGGCGGAGCGGAGCGGAGGGAAAGGGAGGGGAGAGGAGGGGAGGGAAGGGGAGGGGAGGGGAGGGGAGTGGAAGAGAGTGGAGTGGAGGGGAGGGAAGTGGAGGGGGGGTGGAGGGGAGGGAAGGGACGACTCCTCTTGTGACAAGGCCGTGCGTGAGCACAAATGAGATATTGAATCATGGCCTGCTTTCGATGTGTGAATCCACGCATGAAACTCCAACAAAGAATGAGCAATGAGCGACAGCACCACTTGCCCCGATGTATGCTTATGCCTAGCTCGCTTTACAAGAGGGGTGGGTGCACGTATGTATGCTTCCCAGTCTGAACCGCTCACCTCCTGCTGCACCTCAGGCGTGAGCACGAAGGAGAGCTCGTGAGCGAACAGCACCATCATGGTCGCCACGCCCAGCAGAGTCACTGTGTTTGTGTGTGGGTGGGGGGGGGGGGGGGGGGGGGGGGGGGGGGGGGGGGGGGGGGGGGGGGGGGAAGAGGGGGGGGGGGGGAAGGGGGGGGTGGAGAGGAGGGGGGGAGTGTGGCGAGAGGGGGGGGGTGGTGGGGCGGTGATTTTGCGATTATGAAGGCTACCTCAGGCGTGAGCACGAAGGAGAGCTCGTGACCAAACAGCACCACCATGATCGCCACTCCCAGCAGAGTCACTTTAGGGGGGGGAGAGAGGGAGGAAGAAGGGTGGGGGAAGGGAGTGGGGGGGGGAGGAGGGGGGAGGGGGTAAGGAGGAGAGGAGGGGAAGGGGGAAAGGAGGGAACGGGGAAGGGAGGGAAGGGAGGAGAATTGGAGGTGGGGAAGGTGGGATGAGGGGAATAAGGGGAAGGGGAGAACGGGAGGGCTTGTCAATCTAATGGCGACAACCAGGGGGAGGGACTGTGCTTGTGGAGGGAAGGGGGGGGGGGGGAAGAAAACGGGAGGGGGTAAGCCCAACAGTGTAATGCCATTTTCAAGCCCACCAAAATCACTGTGTGTGGAAAGCGATTGTGGAAAGGGTCAGGCAAGGAAGGGGGGAGGGACGTGAGGAAGTGATTGCACCGCTCGGCTCGGTGACTGGAATTGAACGAGGGGTGTGGTGTGGGTGCGGGACGAGATATGAGAGGGGTGGGATGGGGGAACCCTGCTGGCTCGGTGACTGGAATTGAATGAGAGGCGTGGCCCTGGGGGCCCTGTGCCGATGGTGCTGCCGTGCGTGCCGACAGCGCTTTTAGAGGCGCTTCAAAAAGGGCCCTGCGGCAATGGTGCTGCCGTACGTGCCGACAGCGCTTTTAGAGGCGCTTCAAAAAGGGCCCTGCGGCGATGGTGCTGCCGTGCGTGCCGACAGTGCCTGACATCGTCTTCTCAACGAGGCGTCTTCTCAGTGTCTCCCGCCTTGGGAAGCGTGTGCGCGCCACTCCTGCCCTGGGGAAACTCGACCCATAGCCCCATCTGCCCTGGGGAAACTCGACCCATAGCCCCATCTGCCCTGGGGAAACTCGGCCGATAGCCTTACCGTGATATGGAGACCCCAAAATCCCGTCGAGACTCCACTCCAACCAAGCGCAATAATGCCCCAACCCACCACACTCCTCATCTGGACTGTCCGCGTACCGACGGCGCCCGACAAAGACACAGCCCCACCGCATGCCACCACCTTACGTACCGATGGCGCTCGACAGCGTTTTCTGCGTGAGGGGTCCTCCGCCCTGGGCTTGGGGAACGCGCGCGTGCAATTGCTCTGTGGAGAGCTGACTCATAACCCCACTGCTTATCCACACTCCAATTCCGCGATGAGGGGGCCGCACGTACCGATGGCGCTCGACAGCGTTTTCTGCGTGAGGTGTCCTCCGCCCTGGGCTTGGGAAATGCGTGCAGCACGATCGACATCCTAAGCGTGCCTATAGCCCCACTGTATTGGCGCTCCAAGCCTCACTGCTGCACACGTACCGATGGCGCCAGACAGAGACTCTGCGTGAGGTGGTCCTCCGCCTTGGGGAACGCGTGCAGCTTCGAGATCGCCGACCATGCGCCTCCAGGAACCTTACCCATAAGCAATGCCACAATGCCCAACACACTGGGGGAACCTTGCCCAGACGAGACATACCGATGGCGCCCGAGAGTGTTTTCTGCGTGAGGTGGTCCTCCGCCTTGGGGAACGCGTGCAGCTTCGAGATCGCGCCCCATTTCCCGCCCATCGCGATCACCCTCCTGCCAAACCAGGCGCTCTCGTGTCCAATCTCCGATCGAGTGCTCTCTTGTTCGGGCGAAGCGGCTTTGGCTTTCGCGCTACGTGAGGCCCTGGTTTTAAACGGGCGAAACAGGAACGACTATGCGGCTGCGGATCGACTCGCGGGTGGACGAGGTTGGTTGAGAGCGGTGAGATTAGAACGGATTCACAAGGTTGGGTGAAAGCGGGACCTGCGGAGAATAATCAGAACCGGCGATGTGTGACGGCAGGTAGTCCTAGGAACACGACGCGGACACTTTCTACACTACCCTAACTGGGGAACATGTCTTATGAACTAAGAGAAGTCGGAGCGCAACAAAGCTGGGGAAACGGGTAGCCGTGTGCTGTATGTGGGGAGTTTTGATCCTGCTGTTGTTCCCGAAGTGGTTGTAGAATGTTATAGCAAAGTATACATCGGTTCAGTGCAGTAGCATGCTCTGCTCGATGCTCTGTACAATTGTTCCAGAAGCTCCTAACCTAGGGGTTGGGCTGCGCTCACGAACACGCGTCTCCGTTTAGGTGAGTCAGAATTCAAACGACAGTCAGAACACGCAAACACATTATAAGAAAAAAAAATCCTTGCAACTTTTAATGAAAACATGAAAGGACAGGACACTCAACCCTAGCTAACACAGAAACAAACTCATCCAGCCATCGAAGTGACATGGACAAATCAGCGTGGCCCACTGTTTCAATTTAATAAACCAGCTGAAAGGTCTATCAATGAAGAGCCCAACCAGTGGTTGTGCATTGTGTCACATCATATCAAATCACGTCGCACCGTGTCAAGTTGCGTCGCAGCATATCGCATCACTTAGCACCCTGTCACACCTTGTTCCATCAGTTACACTGTGGTCACTGGTCACTGTACATAAGGGCGGCCCATGCCGTGCCGCCCCTCGCCACCCGTGTCAGTAAGCATGCGGGCTCTCCTGATAAGAGCCACACGCAGCAAGCCCCTTCCCTTCCTCTGTTGGAAGTGCTGCTTGCTTCTCCACACTACCTTGCCCCGTGTCAGAATCACGACCCCAGTGCAACAGATCTTCGAGCAACGTCCAACAGCTCTGCAGAATCCGTAGCAATGGACAGACAGCTTGCCTGTCGGCGTGGCTTCCTGCTACTGTCACGCACAGAGTCACCCTGTTACTCAACCCCCACCATATTACACCTTCCTTTATCACCTTCCTCCTTCTCTGTCTCCCCCCTCTTCACCGTCATCCAGCTAGCACCACAGCAGCTCTACCCACCCTCAGCGCACAAGTCTCAGCCTCCCACGATTACATCCACCCTACTGCCTTCCCCGCACTCCTTCCAAATCCGCCCAGTAACCCGCAGCTTCAGCTCCTTCCCATCAGCCCCCGAGAAACGCAGCGCCATCGACCCCCGAATAATCAGCCCGCCATGCGAGTAGCGCAACTTCCAAGTGAACTCTAGAGTCACTCCTTCCAAATCCGCTCCGTCACCCTCAGCTTCAGCTCCTTCCCATCACCCTCCAATAAGAACGGCACCATGAACCCTCTGGATAATCAGCCAGTCATGCGAGGTCACTCCTTCCAAATCCTTCCAGTAACCCGCAGCTTCAGCTCCTTGCCATCACCTCCCGAGAAGAAGAGCGCCATGGAGCGCTGGATGATGAGCCCGTCGTGCGAGTCGCGCACCTTGCGGTGGCTGTCTCTAATGCTCCTGGGCACGCCCTGCCACATGAGCTTGCGGCCGTTACCGCCCACCTCCAGGCTATACCCAAACGCCTTGGCGTCCGCGTCGTCCCCCATGAAGCGCAGGAACGCCATGTACACGGGCGCACTGCCCAGCTGGAACGCCTCGAAGTGCAGACAGAAGTGCTGCCCGAAGCAGTTGAACACCTGGGGGGGATGATGAGTGCATGGGGAGGACGAGGGAGGGAGAGGGATTGGGAAGGGGAGGGGGACGGGGCGTGGGGGGAGGGGGATGGGGGCGTAGGGGAGGGGAAAGAGAGTGTTCGGGTGTCTCAGAAAGCAGTACGCAAAGGCCTGGCGTCGTCAGCAAAGCGCAGGAATGCTTCGGCAGGTATTTCCTCGGTGGGAGTGGGAAACGAGACAGGCGAGAGCAGTAGTTGTGATTGACAAGGGCAATGACAAAAGGTCTTGCAACACCAAATACCATGACACGCACCACCACACCCCCCTCATCCTCACACGGCACGTACTCCACTCATCATCCCATACACACACTTACGCACTCCCTCACTCACTCACTCACTCACTCACTCACTCTCTCACTCACTCACTCACTCACTCCCTCACTCACACAAACATTCTCTCACTCACCGTGAGCATCCAAGTGGCGTTTTCGACCTCCTGCGGGTTCTGCTTGACGTAGCGGTGGTTGAACGTGCTGCCATTGTGCATCTCCACCTTGTGATCGTCCCCCAGGTGCGCCACCAGCGCCAGCACGCCCGCCTTGCTCCACACCATGCCATCCCTCGCAATCCCTTACCCACACGCCAAGCATATACTCTCCCCCCCCCCCTCCCTCCCCCACCCCCCCAAACACCAAAACGGAAACCTAACAAACAGACAGACAGGCAACCAAAGGCACGAGCAGAAGCCTCACCGTGAGCATCCAAGTGGCGTTTTCGACCTCCTGCGGGTTCTGCTTGACGTAGCGGTGGTTGAACGTGCTGCCATTGTGCATGTCCACCTTGTGGTCGTCCCTCAGGTGCGCCACCAGCGCCAGCACGTCCCCCGTCACCGCGCACTCCGACCCCGCGTACGGGCAGCAGTACGGCCGGAACGCGCACAGCGCCTCGTGCTTCACCTTGCAGTAGTAGGGGAGAATCTCCGGGCAGCCGAGCGTGTGGTGCTTGCAGGGGAGCTCGAGGGATTCCGCGACCTTTTCCAGCGCGAGGCAGCGGATGTTGCCCAGCTCGTAGCGGCACGTGGGGCAGCGGTTGTGCACGCGCGCCTTGCAGTGCGAACACAGCGTGTGACCGTTGGGGCACTGGAGGGGAGGGGGGGGGGGGGAGAGCGCGATGAGAGCGCGTGGCGATTGGGACAATGATATGCGGGTGGGAAGAGTTGGTGCAAGTTTTGATTTACATTGACTGCAAGGCGGAGTTACTGGTCAGGTCTGAAACGCCTTGGGAGCGTGAGCGATTGGAAAAAGTAAGAGCTTAATCGAGCGAACGTCAAAAGAGCCAGCCACAGCATTGGGTAACGCGTGGGAAGTCAATCCAACCAGTCGAGAGAAAGCGCAGCTCGCGACGTCGCAACGATTCAGAGCAAAGTTCCAAGGTTAACGAGAATCTGCTTTAAGGAAAACAAACAAAACTGAATCTGAACAGACTTGACATCGAGTTACACGTGAAAAGTGACGTTTACAAATAAAAGGCGAGCTCACCTGATGAATGGGAGGGAACATGGAGTTGGTGCAGACGGGACACTCCAGTAGCTCGTGCACGCCTCCCGACGACATCACAGCGACAGGAGGCGACGTTTGCGACGGCGAGTTACCAGACGCTTTCGCCGACGAATGCGAAGGATATTGTATCGATGAGCCCGGTGTGGCTCCAGACGACGACACCGGCTTGCCATGGCTCCTGGCCTGGCCGGAAGACACGCCGCCTTCTTCGGAGTCGTAAGTGAGCGACGACGAGGCGTCCTCGCTGACTGACATTTCCGCCATCAAGTCGGCTAGGTCCGTTTCACGGCCCGGAGGCATTGTTTCACCTAACCTGCTCGCCTCGCTCGGATCAAGTGCTTGCCTATTGACTAGGGTTTCGTCGAAACGGATACATTGGAATGGTTACAGATGGTCGCGAATAGGTTTGTTGTGAACGTGAGGACCGCCGAGGTGTTCGTTTGCGGTCTTATCTTGACGAGGCGTGGATTGCGAAAACCATGACGCCTCGCCTACTGTGAGCAACTTCGTTCAACGAAGTCTAAAGAAGGAGATAGATCTTCGATGCACACAAGCTCAGGTCAAAGGCTAGGGACGCGGATAGAGGAGCAAAAAAAGAGTGGGAAAAATGGTGGTAGACAGGCAAAATAGAGAGATTCTCGATTGCAGAGAAGGAAACCCTAAAAGCACGGAATATCGGGCTCAACAGGGGTGGGAGGACGATGAGATGATATGATGTGCTGCTGATGTGATGTGATGTGAGCATGTCATGTGAGGTGCGGTGCGGTGGCATGGGAGGATGGTACAACGAGTGACGAATGGAGGATGTTCTCTGTACAGTACGACACGGAGGCATTATTGGAGTTTTTGCACGGTTCATAAAGGTTTCTGTACGGTTGAAAAAGGTTTCAACAACCTCGGAAAAGCCGTAGGTATTCTGCATTGGGCAGGGGCGGTGCATTGTGCTGGTCATGGATGGTTGCGTATGGGAAGAAGTTTTCGGGGAGAACTGCAACCCCCGACCAGCCTTGCAATTCAAAAGCACCGCCCTTGCTTTTTTACAACTGGCGCTCGCTGAGAGAGGGGGTGTTAGGGCGGGTTACATCTTCCTCTCCAGCCCGTCGGGAAGTTTTAGTGGTTACCTTTTTAGACGAACACCGTTGGGTTCCTGTTAGATCACTTGCAACATCGTTAACAATCGTACCGCAGATGAAACTTGATGTGTAAAAAGCCTTCCCAAATCGACCAGACGATTATCGTTCCGTAATAGTACCACAATTATTATTGGTCGATGAAATCGTCTATCCAGATAGCTTGGTAAACGGAAAACGTTTCATAAAGAAAACGTCGGACGCTGCTTAGTCCGGACATCGGACTCGGACTGACAGATGTTCGGAATCTGAACCATTCTCAGGCAGTTGTACGGATTTTTACAGCTTTTAGAAAATATAACACGGCATTATAGATTTGATTAACAGGTCGTAACCCACAAAATTAATGCAGGGAACACAGAGAGAATTAAGGACGCCGTAAAAAAGTGCAAATATCGCAGGATTGTGCTTAAAAATCTAGTCAATTGTGCAGATCGATTGGCGAAATGATGCTCCGTTGTCATTGTAACGATCGCTCCTGATTGGGTTAAATATTTTAGAAGCGAGATTTGGTTGATCAATGGTCGAGTTTCAAGCGAAGGTTGATCTGATAGCTTTGGAAAGTGTTGAATGGCTCGGTATTTGACTTGGTGAAGATTAAATGTTAAAATAATTTAACAATGATGGAGCCAAAATCTATCTGACGATTGTTGTCAGAATCTCTAAGTCAGTCTGCAAATGAATAGGAGCCGTTAATGTGGCAAACTTAAAAAATGAAAAGAACACTGAGAAAAGAGTACAAAATGAGGCATAGAAATCGATAAGATTAGACTAGCATTGCAACACTTAGCTAGCATTCTGCAATTCGAATTGCCAGCAGAGCATCGGAGCGGCTCGCTAATGCTGAAACAGGGTGATCTGCCAACGTAGCAGAAGGGTGATGCGTCAACGCTGCAACAGGGCGGCCTGCTAGCATTGCAGTCGCATGTGAATATCTGCGCACAGGTGCGGACCTACCAGGTAGGTGCAGGTCCACAGTTACACCATCAGACACATTGCACATGTGTCGGGTAGGAAACGTGCTGACGGTTTTGCCAAATGTCTACCGTCGAGCGCGTGATGCCGTTCCACATGTCGACTTTCGCTATAACCTACTGGGCGAAATTTGGCCTTGGCAAGGTTTTGCAGTCACGCATATTCGGCTGACCAGTTCGCCGAGACAAGGCTCGCCGAACAGCGCCCTTCGATCAGTGAATGAGGCTCCTTGAAACAAGACTGGTCACTCCTCACCGTCAAATAGGACCCCAGCTTGCTGCACGCGAAAGCGATGTCGGGCTGACTTGTCATGGCGGCGAACTGCAGTAAAGCGACCTTATGACGATACTCCTTTTCTTCGCGCGACTAGAAGTCATCGTCATCAGTCAGCTCGGTGTAGGTCGACCAAACGTCTTCGCACGCCGACCAGTCTGCTCATCGTCGATGAAATGCCTCCGCAGCTTGTCGACGTAGGACTGCTGGTGCAGCCACAGCTTCCGTGACGGACGGTCGTGCGCGATTTTGAGCCCCAAATACTTCTCGACCAGACTGATCCCGCACAGCTCAAAGGCGGACTCTAGTAGCTCGTTCAGCTCCTTCAGCATCACGGTGCTCTACTAGCGAGCAGGTCTTTGACGTAGATGAGCACCCAGCACGATGCTCTATCGTTGCCAACTCTGAAATAGAGAGTCTCGTTGACCTGGCTCTTGCTCCAACCAGCGCCAATCGGTCATTACAGCGTCGAGCGCCGAGTACCACATCTGAGGGCTCTGCTTCAACCCGTACAAGCTATTTAGCAGCTTGCATACGCGGCCAGTGCCATCGTTGTAGTAAGCCGGCTGGCTAGTTCATGCAGAGCATGTCAGGAAGAATAGGAGCGTGGCCTAGGCTTAGTAGCCTAGGCCACAGTAGGAGGTAGTAGGTTGTGCCCTAGGACTAGGGTTTGTGGTATACGAAGGAGAATTGGAGAAGTGAGAATGGGAATGATGGTTGAACTAGCAAGCAGCAGGATACATATAGGAAACCCTAAGGGGTTGTACTCACTATTGAGCACCCCACTGCAGGCTAGACAAATAACATAATCTGACACACCCCCATAGCCAAAGTGGGGTGTAATCAGCACACGTGAGAAGTCACAGCAATAGTTCACAATTATCAGCAAAGCTAGTGGCAGTCACAGGAGGCCAGTGAGGAGGAGGAGGAACTGTGGAGGGAGAGAAGAGAGGAGGCGACGACTGAAGTTGCAGACACACGGGCACCAGGAGCACCAGGTTGCAACCTCCTCCAACTGTCTCACTCCCCCCTACACTCACCCCCAGTGTCACCACTCGCTTCTCGCCCACATCACCCCCTTAGCGCCACTCCCTCGTCTCCCACACATCCACCCCCCCGCAGCGGCAGCTGCAGCAGTGGGAGACGGAGGAGAAGGTAGGGGCGACGCACAAGGAGCACCCCCACACCCGCCACCCCCACACCCTCCTGTCCAGGGGACGCAGGGGGGGGGGGGGAGGGCCGGGGCGGGAGAGCGCACGAGGGCGCAGGCAACCGCGCGTGCAGAGCAACAGCGCGGAGCAGGTAGGGTAGAGCGCACGAGGGCGCGGGCAACCGCGCGTGCAGAGCAACAGCGCGGAGCAGGTAGGGTAGAGCGCACGAGGGCGCGGGCAACCGCGCGTGCAGAGCAACAGCGCGGAGCAGGTAGGGTAGAGCGCACGAGGGCGCGGGCAACCGCGCGTGCAGAGCAACAGCGCGGAGCAGGTAGGGTAGAGCGCACGAGGGCGCGGGCAACCGCGCGTGCAGAGCAACAGCGCGGAGCAGGTAGGGTAGAGCGCACGAGGGCGCGGGCAACCGCGCGTGCAGAGCAACAGCGCGGAGCAGGTAGGGTAGAGCGCACGAGGGCGCGGGCAACCGCGCGTGCAGAGCAACAGCGCGGAGCAGGTAGGGTAGAGCGCACGAGGGCGCGGGCAACCGCGCGTGCAGAGCAACAGCGCGGAGCAGGTAGGGTAGAGCGCACGAGGGCGCGGGCAACCGCGCGTGCAGAGCAACAGCGCGGAGCAGGTAGGGTAGAGCGCACGAGGGCGCGGGCAACCGCGCGTGCAGAGCAACAGCGCGGAGCAGGTAGGGTAGAGCGCACGAGGGCGCGAGTGAGACTGAGCGCGACTGCACAGGGTCCAGGAGCGGCGTCGCGGGCAGCTGCATGGTCGGCTGCTGCTGGTGCGGTTGCTCCAGGGGCGACGACTGAGGTTCTAGGGGCGGCTGCACCAGGGGCGGCTGCTCCACGGGCGGCGTCGCGGGTACAGGGGCGGCTGCACCAGGGGCGGCTGCTCCAGGGGCGGCGGCGCAGGTCCAGGGGCGGCTGCACCAGGGGCGGCTGCTCCACGGGCGGCGTCGCGGGTACAGGGGCGGCTGCACCAGGGGCGGCTGCTCCAGGGGCGGCGGCGCAGGTCCAGGGGCGGCTGCACCAGGGGCGGCTGCTCCACGGGCGGCGTCGCGGGTACAGGGGCGGCTGCACCAGGGGCGGCTGCTCCAGGGGCGGCGGCGCAGGTCCAGGGGCGGCTGCACCAGGGGCGGCTGCTCCCTGGGCGACGGCGCAGGTCCAGGGGCGGCGGCACCAGGGGCGGCTGCTCCAGGGGCGGGGTCGCGGGTCCAGGGGCGGCTGCACCAGGGGCGGCGGCTCCAGGGGCGGGGTGGCGAGTCCAGGGGCGGCTGCACCAGGGGTGGCCGCTCCAGGAGCGATGGCGCTGGCGCAGGGGCGGCTCGCGCGCTGTTGCAGGGGCGGCGTCGCGAGCTGCTGCAGGGGCGGTGTCGCGAGCGACGGGCGACGGGGGGAGAGCAGCAGGCGGGCCCCCGGAAGGCGCCGCGACGACCAGTGACGGCGCCCAGGGGGCGTCGCGTCGTGTAGGGGCGACGCCGCGCGGGTCCCGCAGAGGTGTCGCGACGAGCAGGGCGACGCCGCGCGGGTCCCGCAGGGGCGTCGCGACGAGTAGGAGCGGCACCCAGGGGGGGGCGCCGCGACGAGCAGGGGCGGGCCCCCTGAAGGCGCCGCGCCATGCGACGGCAGGGAGCAGCACGCAGGCCCCCCGGAGGGCGCCTCGACGGACGGGATAACCGCCGCGCGCCCCGAGCGCGCGGCGGGTAGAATAAGCCGCCACACGCTCGAAGCGCGTGGCGGGAAGAAAAATCCAGTGCCGCGCACCACGGAGCTGTCAGATTATGTTATTTGTCTAGCCTGCAGTGGGGTGCTCAATAGTGAGTACAACCCCTTAGGGTTTCCTATATGTATCCTGCTGCTTGCTAGTTCAACTCATCATTCCCATTCTCACTTCTCCAATTCTCCTTCGTATACCCCAAACCCTAGTCCTAGGGCACAACCTACTACCTCCTAGTGTGGGCCTAGGCTACTAAGCCTAGGCCCCACTCCTATTGTTTCTAACATGGTATCTAGAGCGAGCACGTTCCTGCCGCTTACCTCTATGGGCCCACCACCTGCTTCCGCTGCCGTAGTGTCCGCCGCGCGCCCCGTGGTGCGCGGCGGCGAAACCCTAATTTTTCATCCCGCCGCGCCCTCGAAGCGTGCGGCGGTTTTCTGCCCGCCGTGCGCCCCGAGGCGCGCGGCGGTTTTCTGCCTGCCGTGCGCCCCGAGGCGCGCGGCGGCTTTCTGCCCCGTCGCCCTCGCGTCGCCCCGCGTCGTTCCCGTCGCCCGCGGCCCCCCGTTCCCGTCGCCCGCGGCCCCCCCCGTTCCTGTCGCCCGCGGCCCCCTGTTCCCGTCGCCCGCGGCCCCCGTTTCGTCGCCCCGCGCCCCCCCTTTCGTCGCCCCGCGCGGACGCCAGCGCCACGGCCAGCCGCGAGCGCCAGCGCGGCCCGTACGGACTGCGCCAGGCCAGGGCGCGCCTCGAGCCGCTCGCCACTGCAGCAGCCGCCCCTGGAGCCGCCCGCCACTGCAGCAGCCGCCCCTGGAGCCGCCCGCCACTGCAGCAGCCGCCCCTGGAGTCGCCCGCCACAGCAGCAGCCGCCCCTGGAGCCGCTCGCCACTGCAGCAGCCGCCCCTGGAGCCGCCCGCCACTGCAGCAGCCGCCCCTGGAGCCGCCCGCCACTGCAGCAGCCGCCCCTGGAGCCGCCCGCCACTGCAGCGGCCGCCCCTGGAGCCGCCCGCCACTGCAGCGGCCGCCCCTGGAGTCGCCCGCCACTGCAGCAGCCGCCCCTGGAGTCGCCCGCCACTGCAGCAGCCGCCCCTGGAGCCGCCCGCCACTGCAGCAGCCGCCCCTGGAGCCGCCCGCCACTGCAGCAGCCTCCCCTGGAGTCGCCCGCCTCTGCAGCAGCCGCCTCTGGAGCAGCCGCCCCTGGTGCAGCCGCCCCTGGGCCCGCGACGCCGCCCCTGGAGCAGCCGCCCCTGCAGCAGCCGCCCCTGGCCCCTGGAGCAGTCGCCACTGCTGCAGCTGCCCCTGGACCCGAGCAGCCGCCCCTGCAGCAGCCGCCTCTGCAGCAGCCCACGGCGCCGACCCTGCAGCTGCATGCGACGCCGCTCCTGGTCCCGGTGCAGCCGCCTCCTTTTCCTGTCACCCGCAGTCTTGTTCCTCTCGTGCTGTATGTGTCGCTTCTAGCCCGCTCCGTGTTCGTTCGTCTTGCTCGTGTATTTGTTTGTTTTGCCTGTGTTCGTTTGTTCTACCTACCTACCTACCTACCTGCGCCCTCGTGCCTTGTGCCTTGTGCCTTGTGCTTCGTGCCTCGTGCCTCGTGCCTCGTGCATCGTGCGCCCTGCTCCGCGCTGTTGCTCTGCACGCGCGGTTGCCCGCGCCCTCGTGCGCCCTACCCTACCTGCTCCGCGCTGTTGCTCTGCACGCGCGGTTGCCCGCGCCCTCGTGCGCTCTACCCTACCTGCTCCGCGCTGTTGCTCTTGTCAAACATTATATATGTTTGGTTTGTTAGGCTACAGTGGGTTAGCCAGTATGGGGTACACAATTCTAGGGTTTGTTATTTGTACTGATTTCTCTGTTAGTTCAATCATTCCAGTCTTGTAATCTTGACATGGTTTCAGAGCAGGTCCTTCCCTAGGACCGTTTTTTAAGGGCCCACCTAACTACCTACATACCTATCAAGCGCCCCTAGTGCGCCTCCTATTGCGCCCCTAGTGCGCCTCCTATTGCGCCCCTAGTGCGCTATCCTTTTTGTTTACCGCGCGCGATCTGCTAGCCGCCCGCGCGCGGCCTATTTCGTGCGCGCGACCAGCCAGCAGCCCGCGCGCGGCCGTTTTTTTTTTCGCGCGCGCCTAGCTAGCCGCCGACGCGCGCGGCTCTTTTTCTTCGAGCGCGGCCCGTCGCGCTGCTCCGTGCTGCGCTCGACCCCCCCGCGCCTTCGTCGCCGCGGTCGGGCCTGCAGCAACAGCCGCGGCAGAGACTGCAGTCGCGGCCGTCGCAACTGCTGCAGCAGCCGCCGCCGCCTCTCCTGCCGCGGCCGCCGCTGCATCTACAGCAGCTGCAGCCGCCGCATCTACTGCAGCAGCCGCCGCTACAGATACAGCAGCAGCAGCCGCCGCATCTTCTGCAGCAGCAGCCGCCGCATCTTCTGCAGCAGCCGCCGCTGCATCTACAGCAGCAGCAGCCGCCGCGCCTTCTGCAGCAGCCGCCGCTGCATCTACAGCAGCAGCAGCTGCCGCATCATCTACAGCAGCGGCCGCCGCCGCATCTACGGCAGCAGCAGCCGCCGCAATCTACAGCAGCGGCCGCCGCAGCTACAGCAGAATCAGCCGCCGCTGCCTCTGCAGCAGCAGCCGCCGCCGACCCAGCAGCAGCAGCCGTAGCCGAACCTGCAGCATCTGCCGCCGCTGTCTCGACTGCCTTGCCCTACTGCTACTGTCACTGCCACGTTTATTACTTACTCTTCCTCCTCCTGCTACCATGGCTACTGCTCCTGTTCTAGCCTTCGACGCTGAGGGCCGCCCAGTGAAATTTGACACCTGGCTCGATGATCTGCACCTTTTCCTACAGCTCACTGCCAAGGAAGACATTTCACTGTACGACCACGCCCTAGGCCATGCTACTGCCCCTGACTCCTCTGCTGCTAGCACACTGCGCTCCCAGTGGCAGACCCGCGACGCACACGCTCGCTTTGCTATCCGCAACTCCCTGCCGCTAGATGAGCGCGAGCACTTCGGCCAGTGCAAGACTGCTAAAGAACTGCACACAGCCGTAGTTGCTCGCTACTCCTCGCCTGCGTCTGCCACCCTAGGCCGCCTCTCCCTGCCCTACCTGTTCCCCGACCTGGCCTCCTTTCACACTGTCGCTGATCTCATCACCCACCTCAAGACTAGTGAGGCCCGTTTTCGCGCTGCTATGCCTGCCGAGTTCCTTGCTAGCAACCCCCCCCCGCTCTGGCTCACCCTCTACCACATTGTCACCCGCCTCCCTGACTCTCTGCGCACAGTCAGGGACTCCTTTCTAGCTCGCTCCCCTACTGAGCTCACCATTGCCCTCCTCGAGAAGGACCTACTTGCAGCTGAGGCGAGCATCGTCGCCGTAGGTGCCTCTCGTGGCGAGCCCCGCACCCCCTTCTTCGAGGGGTGTTCCCCTTCCCCCCTTCTCCCCTCTGTCGCCACTGCTGCTGCTGTCGACCTCCTTGGTGCTGAGAAGGTCGGGGCTGCGTCTGCTTCGAGCGGGCGCCGCAAGAGCAGGGGGGGCAAGGGTGGGGGTGGAGGCGGGGGAGGCGGGGGTGGAGACAGTGGAGGTGGCGGTGGGTCTGGAGAGGCTAGTGGCGGCAGTGGGGGTGGTGACAGCGGCGGCGGGGGTGGTGGCAGAGGCGGAGGTGGCAGCGGCGGCGGTGGCGGTCGTGGCCGTGGCAGGGGTGGAGGTGGCCGAGGCGGTGGCGGTGGCGGTGGCGGTGGTGGCCGTGGAGACGCTGGAGGTGGCCAGAGTCAGCAGCACGCCCCGACCCTCCAGGCCGCCCGTGAGTGGTACGCACAGCGTGGGTACACTTGCACGTACGTCATCCGCACTGGTGACCGCACTGGCCAGCCATGTGGGAGGTCGCACCCCACGCAGCGCTGCTTCCAGCGCCTGACTGACGCGTGGCGCACCCAGTTTCCTGGGTCTACTGAGCTCCCCCGCTGGCCTGAGCTGGAAAAGAAGGGTGTTGATATCTGGGCTTTAGACTTTGATGCTATTCTCACTGCTATGTATGCGATGTCTATTAGTGGAGAGGGTGCCCAGTACTTGCGTGTTCCGCCCGACCCGGGCATTCAGGCCAGCCCAGCTGCTGCTCTAGGTGCTAGTGTGTCTGCTCCCACAGGTCCTGCTGCAGCAGCTGCCCTAGGTGCTAGTGCGTCTGTGCCCCCTGGTACTGAGTCGACTGCAGCACTGCACACCTTCACACTGGACTCAGGTGCTTCTCGCTCTTTCTTTCGTGACCGCACTGTCCTTGAGCCACTAGCTCGGCCGGTTGCTGTCTCTCTTGCTGACCCCTCTGGGGGTCCGGTCATTGCGACCTCCTCCACTACACTTCCGTGTCCAGCGGTTCCGTCCGGCACACTCTCAGGTCTCTACCTCCCCTCGTTCTCTACGAACTTGGTGGCGGGCTGTGCTCTGCAGGACGGGGGTGTTCACCAGTTCACCCCTGCCTACGAGCGTGTGACACATTGCACGTGTGCTCGGACGGGCCGCCACCTGGCTACTTTCACTCGGGAGCCGGGGTCGGACCTGTACACACTGACCACTGAGCCCCCTCAGGTAGCTGCGTCTGCGTCTGCGTCAGGTCAGCTGTCCGCCCCCTGCTCGTGTCGCTCTCTGGCGCATGAGACTGTCCTCTGGCACCACCGCCTTGGTCACCCGTCTGTGCAGCGCCTTCGGGCCATGCACAAACGGGACCTTGTTGCTGGTCTTCCCAGGGTGCTCCCTCCCCTTCCCGACTCCCCTGCTCCTGACTGCATTCCCTGTGTCGAGGGGCGGCAGCGCGCCGCTCCTCACTCCTCCTCCTTTCCCCCGACGACTGCTCCCTTGCAGACGCTCCACATGGACGTGTGGGGCCCAGCCCGCGTTCATGGTCAGGGTCAGGAGAGGTACTTCCTGATAGTTGTTGACGACTACTCGCGCTACACCACGGTCTTCCCCTTGCGCGCCAAGGGTGACGTCCCTGGTGTTTTGATCCCCTGGATCAGCCGAGCCCGTCTCCAGCTAGCCAAGCGCTTTCACTCGGACTTTCCTGTCCTGCGCTTGCACTCTGATAGGGGTGGTGAGTTCGCCTCCGACCTCTTGGCAGCCTATTGTGCTGAGCACGGCATTGAGCAGTCGTTCACGCTTCCGGCCTCTCCACAGCAGAATGGGGTCGCTGAGCGCCGCATTGGCTTGGTCATGGAGGTCGCTCGTACCTCCCTGACCCATGCGGCTGCTCCCCACTTTCTGTGGCCGTTTGCGGTCCGGTACGCTGCGCATCAGCTCAACCTCTGGCCCCGTGTCTCCTTGCCGGAGACTTCCCCGACTCTGCGGTGGACGGGAGAGGTTGGCGATGCGTCGCGTTTCCGGGTCTGGGGATCTCGAGCTTTTGTCCGCGACACGTCCGCGGACAAGCTCTCGCGTCGCGCCGTTCCCTGTGTCTTTCTTGGCTTTGTGCCTGACGCGCCTGGATGGCAGTTTTACCACGTCACCTCGCGCCGGGTTCTGGCCTCTCAGGACGTCACTTTTGACGAGTCCGTCCCCTTCTACCGCCTCTTCCCCTACCGCACTGCCCCGCTCCCCCCCCCCGCCTCTCTTCCTCGCTCCAGGTGCTGAGGTACCAGACCCCCTCCCCCCTCAGGGTGCCGCTCCCTCAGGTGTGTCCCAGGTAGACCCGGGTGAGCCTGTCGAGGTAGCTGTTGACTCGCGTCCTGCGTCTGGGGGTGCTGAGCCTGGGGGTGCTGAGTCTGGGGGTGCAGAGCCTGGGGGTGCTGAGCCTGGAGGTGCGGAGCCTGGAGGTGCGGAGCCTAGAGGTGCTGAGTCTGGGGGTGCTGAGTCTGGGGGTGCTGAGTCTTCGGGTGCTGAGCCTGAGCGTACTACACCTGGAGGAGCCCTCTCCTCCCAGCAGCTGCAGGAGAGGTACCTCGAGTACTGCCGCCTCCGGAGAGGTGCTTCTGGAGCTCGTCCCAGTACTTCCCCTCCTACCCAGGAGCTCCCCCCCATTCAGGTGATCCGAGAGTGGTACACACGACGCTGCAGTCTTCGGAGTGGTGCTCCTGGTGCTGCGGACCCGAGCGGTGGCGCTGTTGCTGGTGCTGAGGACCCGGACGCTGGAGCTGCTGCTGGTGCTGAGGACCCGGGCGTTGGAGCTGCTGTTGGTGCTGAGGACCCGACCGGCGGCGCTACTGCTGGTGCTGAGGACCCGACCGGTGACGCTGCTGCTGGTGTTGAGGACCCGGGTGTTGGAGCTGCTGCTGGTGCTGAGGACTCGGGCGTTGGGGCTGCCGCTGGTGTCCCTGCTGGTTCTGGAGACGCTGTGCGGCCGCGACCGTACTTCGTACCACTCCTTCAGCAGGTTCTTGGTCAGGCTCCTCCTCCTAGTCCTCCTCCCTCCGTCGAGTGTCCTCTGCCTGTCCCACCGCAGTCACAGTTACTGCCTGCCTCGCCTCTCCCTGCTCCCTCTCCTTACGCTGGTCCCACAGGAGGTCTTACAGAGCGTCGTGAGCCTGAGTCTCGTCCTGCGTCGCCTGTTCGTACTACTCGCACTGGTCGTCGTGTCCCGCGTGAGCGTCCTCCTCCTGTCCCTGGCACTCACTACATGACCTTGCGTCCCTCCACTGCTCCGCAGCGTGTCCCGCTGCCGTCTCCTCCTGCGTCCTCTCTTCCTACTCTTCCTGACCCGGAGTCTGACTCCCGTCGTGCGGCCAGTCCCACTGTTACGCGTCTCCTCGCTACAGTTGTCACTGACCCGACCTTTGAGTCCTCTGCTGCGTCTGCTCTGGTCGCTGAGCTGGTTGACTTTGCTGCTCGCTGTCGCTTAGACTACGCTGCCAGCCTTGTCGCTGAGTCTGAGTCTGAGTCTGCCTGTCCTCCGTCCGTCGGGGGTGAGTGTGCTCTTGGCACGGACGTCCTTGAGGACAGACAGGAGGAGTTCCAGTGCTTTGCTGCTGCTTTGCCCCATCTCGTGTCCATGCTTGTTGCCCCTGAGGGAGACCCGGATGCACCAGACATCCCGACCCCGCGCTCTTACGCTGAGGCGATGGCGGGTCCCTACTCCTCTCAGTGGCAGACAGCCATGGACGCAGAGATGGCTTCCTGGAAGTCCACAGGCACCTACGTCGACGACGTTCCCCCTCCTGGGGCGAACATCGTCAGTGGCATGTGGATTTTCAGGGTGAAGCGGCCGCCGGGTTCTCCTCCTGTCTTCAAGGCACGCTACGTGGCTCGAGGCTTCAGTCAGCGAGAGGGAGTCGACTTCTTCCAGACCTTCTCCCCCACCCCGAAGATGACCACTCTTCGGGTGCTGCTGCACATAGCCGCTCACCGCGACTACGAGCTTCACTCACTTGACTTCAGCACTGCTTTCTTGCAGGGCAGCCTGCACGAGGAGATCTGGTTGCGCCGCCCTCCTGGCTTCACTGGCTCGGTTCCTCCTGGTACCCAGTGGAGGCTTCAGCGGCCGGTCTACGGTCTCCGCCAGGCGCCACGTGAGTGGCACGACACACTGAGGACGACGCTTGCGGCTCTTGGGTTCGCTCCCTCTACTGCTGACCCGTCGCTGTTTCTACGCACAGACACCTCGCTGCCGCCGTTCTACATCCTCGTGTACGTTGACGACTTGGTCTTTGCCACAGCTGACACAGCGGCACTCGCCCACGTGAAGTCGGAGCTGCAGAGGAGACACACGTGCACAGACCTGGGTGAGCTGACAAGCTATCTTGGCTTGCGGATCACCCGGGACAGAGCACGGCGCACCATCACCTTGACTCAGTCACACATGGTGCAGCAGGTTCTCCAGCGCTTCCGCTTCACGTACTCCTCGCCTCAGTCCACTCCTCTGCCTACCGGTCACTCGCTCTCAGCTCTGCCTTCGGATGAGTCCGTAGAGCCGAGTGGCCCGTATCCAGAGCTTGTGGGCTGCCTCATGTACCTGATGACCTGCACTCGACCTGACCTTGCATACCCCCTTAGCATCTTAGCACGCTATGTCGCTCCTGGCCGTCACAGGAAGGAGCACATGGATGCTGCTAAGAGGGTGTTGCGCTACTTGTGCAGTACGTCGGGCATGGGGCTTGTGCTTGGAGGGCGAGACCGGGTTGTTCTCACAGGGCACTCAGACGCTTCTTGGGCAGACGACCAGGCTACTCAGCGGTCGTCACAGGGTTACACCTTCAGCCTTGGCTCTGGCTCAGTTTCTTGGCGTTCTACTCGTTCGTCTTCTGTTCTCAGTTCCAGTTGTGAGGCTGAGATCTACGCCACAGCCATGGCTGCTCAGGAGCTGCGCTGGCTGACCTACCTGCTGACCGACCTCGGAGAGCGGCCTCGTTCTCCTCCAGTGCTGTACGTCGACAACAAGGCTGCCATT